ATTTTTGCAAGAGAAGAGTTACCAATAGGAAAGGAGGTCAAAGTATTCAATAAGAAAGAACAAGGTAGAATTGCAATGCCAAATGATTGGATTAAAGCTGGCGAGGGAGGAGAATGAAAATAGAATAGGGGTAATGGTCTGAGAAAGTACAAAAAGGTAAAGGAAATTTAGGACTGCTTGAATGCAAAGAACAGTGTGAAGAAGGAATTGAGAGTATGTGGAGGTTGAATGGTAGGAAGGGGAATGCCAGAGTTTATAATTAGGGAGATGGAACACTTTGGACAATGCCATCTCTAAGTGTGGTTGAGGTGGAGGGAAGAAGTAGGTCATGGAATTTAAGGAGACTGAACATCATGGAGATGAGAGATAATGAAAAGTAGAGGATAGCACTTAGGTTGTGAATCTCTTTGTTTCTGTTTTGGCCAGAAACCCTGAGGGTCTTCCTCTCCCAGATTTTTTTTTTAAACAGGCCACTATTTTCCTCATTTTTTGTTAAATCTTAATCACTGAATGGGCTCTGCCTCAGTCAAACTGAGGCCTTAGCTTCAAAAGGCCAAGGTCTCCACTGCATCCTGGGCCATCTCCAGTTGTCCTGGTTTATATCTGGCCACTGGACCCACATGGCTCCGGAGGAGAAAGTGAGGCTGGTGAGTTTGCCCAGCCCTCTCTCATTTAAATCCAATTCACTTGCATGTCATGACATCACATCCCTGATGTCATGGTCCTCTTTGAGAATGAAGGACAACAGTGCCCAGAACTCCATGGGACACCTGCTGGTTAGAGGACATGACCTACATGAGGAATCAGCAAAGGACACTGAGAAGGAATGTTTGATAGGTAGGAGGAGAAGCAGGAGAGGGAGCATCTAGGTGGATATTAGTCTCTTAGTATATGGGTAGAAGTTGGAGAGTAGAGGAAGATGGTTCCTTAAGAAAGGAACAAGAATGATCTGGGGTGGAGGGTAGGTATAACATAGCAACCATAATATACCATAAATATAGAACTACAAAAGACCCCTAGTTTAGGGGTTCTTAACCTTTTTGGTCTCACGGATCCCTTTGGCAGTCTGCTATGTTGATCACATGGCCATTTCCCTACTGGTTTCTTTCTAGGTATGCTCACAAACATCATCTTGTTGGAGTGGAGAAAACCTTGGTAAATAGCAAATAGGGCATTCCTGGTGAAAGGATAAAGGAAATAATTGGAAAAGATGGAAACATCCACATTTCAAGGGTGGGAGTCACTCAAGAGAATGGGGCTTACTTTCCTATTGCCATTGCATAGCTAACCCTCATACAAATATCTTAGCTACGCTATGAAGGTAGAGGACAAACTTGTTATAGAAACAAGTCAATCTTGATAGGGAATATAAATTGAAAGCTGAAGAAATAGTAATGAGAAATGGTGTCTGTAGTAGAAGTCAAGGCAAAACACACACCACAACAAAGTCTGAGAGGTAAGATTGTAGAATGATTGTAGTCAGACGGTTTTGTGGTAATTAACAAGGTGTTTAGCTTGTCAAAATATTTTCTAAAATGGTCACACTCATTTGATGGCAGGTCTGTGTGCATGGCTGGTCACACCTCTCAGCTGCCCATGAATTCTCTTTAGCTGAACACATGTCACCTGTCACATCATTCTGCACAGCCATGGATAACTAAGCGTTGGCAGGCATGTTAATTACTTCAAATGTTAATAACTAATAATAAGTGTTCTGAAAGATGGAAGAGAACCGTAGGATCTTATGATGGAATTTTAAGTTGAAAGAAATCTTTTTTTAACAATGTTAACACTTATTTTTAAAAATTTTTTGAGTTCTAAATTCTCTCTCCCTTCTCTCCCTCCCTCCTTGAGAAAGCAAGTAATTTGATATAGATTTACTAATGAAATCATGCAAAACATGTTTTCCTTTCAGATATGTTGCAAAATAAAATACAAATAAAAAAAAGAAAAAGAAAGTAGAAAAAAGTATGCTTTGATCTGTGTTCAGACTCCATCAGTTCTTTTTCTGGAGGTAGATAAAATTTTTCATCATAAGTTCTTTGGAATAGTCTTGGCTCACTGTATTGATCAGAGTAGCTAAGTCTTTAACAGTTAATCATTACACAACATTGCTGCTAATGTGTAAATGTTCACTTCATTTTGCATCAGTTCATATAAGTCTTCCCAGATTTTTCTGAAACCATCCACTTATCATTTCTTAAAGCACAAGAGTATTCCATTACAATCATGTCAGCCATTCCCCTCAATTGATGAGCATCCCCTCAATTTCTAATTCTTTGCTATCACAAAATAGGCTGCTATAAATATTTTTGTAGATGTAGGTCCTTTTCCATTTTCTTTGATCTCTTTGGGACATAGATCTAGTAGTAGGAGCAGTAGTATTGTTGCTGGGTCAAAAGGTATACACAATTTTATAGCCCTTTGGATAATTCCAAATAACTCTCCAGAATGGTTGGATCAGTTCACAACTCTATCAATAGAATATTACTGTCTTAATTTTTCCATATCCCCTCAGACATTTGTCTTTTTCCTTTTTTGCCATGTTAGCCAATCTGATAGGTGTGAAGTGGTACCTCAGAGTTGTTTTAATTTGTGTTTTTCTAATCAATAATGGTTTAGAGCATTTTTTTTCATATGATTATAGATACTTTTGATTTCTTCTACTGGAAACTCCTATTTTTCCATTTGGCCAATTCTACTTTTTAAGGAGTTCTTTTCTTCAGTGAATTTTTGTACCTATTTTTCTAGTTTGCCAATTCTATTTTTTAAGTTCTTTTCTTCAGTGAATTTTTGTACCTCTTTTTCCATTTGGCCAATTTTGCTTTTTAAGGAGTTCTCTTTGGTGAATATTTATGCCACTTTTACCATTTGGTTAATTCTATTTTTTAATGTGTTATTTTCTTCAGTATTGTTTGTGTTGACTCTCTTTTTGTACTTTTTTTGTATCACTTTCATTTCTTTTCTCAACTTTTCTTCTACCTCTCTTATTTGATTTTTAAAATCTATTTTGAGCTCTTTTAGCTATTATTGGACTTATGTCCAATTCTCTCTCTCTCTCTCTCTCTCTCTCTCTCTCTCTCTCTCTCTCTCTTCTTTGAGGCTTTTCTTATAGTTGTTTTGACATTGTTATCTTCTTCTGAGTTTGTGTCTTAATCTTCCCTGTCGCTATTGTAACTTTTTGCAGTCAGGTTCTTTTTCTGTTGTTTGCTCATTTTCCCACTCTATTTCTTGATTTTTAACTCTATGTTAAAGGTGGGCTCCACTCCTGAGGTGGAGAGAGCACTGTCTCAAGCTTCAGGTTTTTCATGCTGCTGTTTTCAGAGCTAGTCCTGGGGGAATCTACAAGTTTTCAGTGCTTCCAAGGTGCTATGATTTAAGGAGAGGTATGGTAACTGCTGTCCTGGCTTGCATGCTACTATTTACCCAGGAAGGGATCTTGTTCCCCTATAGATGCAAACAGTAGAGCTCTTTTCTGCCTTGGAACTGGGACCTGGGCCCCTGCTCCTTTGTGAATGATCACAAGTACTCTTCTCCACTCTGAAACTGTGCCCAGGGGCCCAGCTTCCCTATGGCCACAAGTGCTAGTGCATTTGTACTCCTCCCCCCTTGGCCCTGGAACTGTAACCCATATGACCCACATGTGACCTGTATGTGGACAATGCAGCAGGGTCTTGTATCCAGTTTCAGCACAGGGTCCCCTGTAATCTCTTTCTGACCCATTGTCTAACCCTCTTACTGTCTGGGAGCTGCTGATGTCACTGTTGCGGCCCCCTCCAAGGCCTGCTGCTGGCTTTGCTGAGGAGTGGCCTGTGCTGCACTTCAGGCTGACGAAGACCCCTTTGTGACAGACCTTTCCTGCCAACCTCCTGCATTGTCTTGAGCAGGAAAATTGTTTCACCCTAACCTTTTGTTTGCTTTGCTGCTCCAGACTTCAACTTGAGGTGTTGTTTTAAAATTGTTTGGAGGGGAATTAGGGAGAGTTCAGATGAGTTCCTGCCTCCACTCTGCCATCTTGGCTTTACCTCTCAGTTAAAAGACATCTTAAGTTCCTTGATAGGAATGACTTTGTATCTGTATCTCCATACCTTACACAATACCTGGTACATACTAGGTGCTTAATAAATAATTGCTTACAGATAGTTTAACTCTTTCCACTCCTTCCAGACAACTAATAGTTCTATTTCTACTACATTGACATTCCTTAACCAAATGCTATTCTAACGGAAAATTCTTAAGTCTAATGAATGAGAAAATTGAGGACAACGAAGATAGTATGTATACATCTATATGTGTGGTAAGTGGGATAAAATTCTGTCTAGAATCAAACTTTTCTGCAAAAAGAAACAGTGAATATTTCTTTTCTTATATTTTCCATATATATATATATATATATATATATATATATATATATATATATATATATATATATTCATAAAAGCTAGAGACAGTTTGGGAAATGAAAGCCTATTTTCTTTATACAAGTGAATACCGTGTGATTGGTTATCTTATTTTCCAAGCTGGGCAAATAGACTCTGTCCCCTGGAGAATGCAGTGGAAGGCTGTCTGAACTGAGATACATGAGCTAGCATAAAGACTGCTTCAATTGTAAATCGCCCCTGCAATTTGGCTAGCTATTGCTGGAGGTCTGGAGGGAGAAAAAATGGGGAAGGAGAGAAGAGACATGGAGAGTTGTAGTGGGAGTTTTTCTAATCTACCTAGATTAAGCTTTTTTTTTCTTTCCTCTTCTGTTGTTGAAAGTAACTCAACTAATCAAACCCTTCATTTCATTACTTGAAAGTTCCTAACTAGTTTGTAATTTAAGGGATTGGCTGAAAAATTTTTCATTGTTTTATTTGACTTTCAGAATGGGGATAAATGCCTATGAAAGTGACTATTAAAAAGGAAGGCCCCTTAAATCTGATGAATGGTCCATAACACTTGAATGCTTCTCCAAGTAATTGTTGTTGGTGTTGTTTTAAAACATCCAATCTTACCTGCCCAAACGAAATTCAGTATGTTTCTATCAGATCCTTATAAAAATCTGTTTTTATCTTCTGTCCTTGCCCTTTCCTAAAGAAATCCAATTTAGCAAGTAGAAAATACATCCAATTCAAGGCGATAAATACATGCCATGATGGGGTTGCAATGATCCTGTCCTCAGAGGATGGCTCTGGTTTGCTGAGCTGAGGTCTGCAGGGAGAGAGATAATAACACGCCTTACATTATGCAGCCAAGTGTGCAGATTTTTGGTGGGTTCCACCAGCATTTCATGTATAGATTCTAGCTGTGCCCTTGTGTGCCAGGCAGCACATACTTAGGGGTGACAAGTGGTTCCTTTGCATTCTTCCCCTTACGCACTCATTTATGGCTCCTCAAGGAAGACAAACAACTAATGTTTCTAGGAGCTGTCTGCCCAGTTTTGTGGTAGGTAGAAGTCAAGAGTATGTTCTATCCAATTTGACAAATTCATGAGGCATTTATCAAGTGCCTGAAACAGTGGAATGGAAGTACCTTGTAAAACTTGGTTGGAGACCAGGTCTCCTACTTACTGGCTATGTGACAAGTAATTTCACCTCTGCAGGTTTTAATTTCTTCAATTATCAAATGAAATACTATCTAAGGTACCCTCCAATCATATGATCCAACTATGCACAAGGCCCTGTGCTCTATGTTAGAGATATGAAGCTGATTAAGGCATATGTCCAGGCCTCAAGGAGCTTACAATCTAATCTTACAATCATGTGATAGGTAAAACTGGCCTTCAGAGAACCTCATAGGATCAGAAGATAATAGAATCCAGAGTTGGAAATCTTCTAGGCTGACATTCTGATTTTACAAATGAAGGAAATGAGGCCCAAGGACAGTCACAGAATTTTAGATCTGAAAGGTACCACAGAGGTCATCTGGTCTCAATTGTATCTAATAATTGCTCTCCAACATCCCTGGGAGGAAGAACCAAGATGGTGAATGGGCTGTCCCCCAAACTCCTCCAAATACCTGTAAAAATGGCTCTAAATAAATTCTAGAGCAGCAGAACCCATAAAAAGACAGAGTGAAACAAATTTCCAGCCCAAGACAACCTGGATGGTTGATTGGAAAGGTCTGTTGCACCAGGCTGGGAGAAGAGTGTACTTCAGCATGGGCCACATAAAGACCTGGACTCAGCAAACATGGAGGAGGACTTAGGGGACTGAATCAAGGGGAGCTGTGGCAGTTTCCAGACTTCTCAACCCACAAACTCCAAAGACAAATTAGAAGGTCAGTAGGAAAGGTCTGTCGGACCTCGGTGAAAGAGGAGCACGGCCCGGCCCCAGTCCCAGTACAGCCTTGTGGCAGTGGCTGCTTCTAGAGCTCTCAGCCCACAGACTGAGGGGGGATCTAGTGACTGATCAGAGGGGGATTGCAAGGATCTCTTTGCTGGTGCTGAGGCAAGATTCTCTTGCTTTGCCCGTGCTTGGATCTGAGTTGCAGTTCTGGGTGGAGGTCCTGGGGCGAGGAGGAGCACTGGCGTGGTGGAACTTGTGGCGGTGATACAGAGAGAATCCTCCTCACAAGTCCTACACAGGAAAGAGTGCTTGTGGTCACTCTTGGACCAGAGCACAGGCCAGGAAAGGAGTAAACACCTTGCCTTTGATCATACCACCTTGGAAGAATGGAAAATTTACAGATCCCTAGAAATACCTCTGAAAATAGCTACATAAAACCCCTGAAGCTTAGGACAGTACATTCTCCACACTAGAAGCAGACCCCTACCTTGACAAAGAGTTTATAACTCAAGTAATTGTCTAGGGTCATGAGCAAGCAGTGCAAAAAAAAAAAAAACTTAGACCACAGAATCTTACTTTGGTGACAAAGAAGATCAAAACATGCACTTAGAAGAAGACAACAAAGTCAAAGCTCTTACATCCAAAGGCTCCAAGAAAAATACAAGTTGGTCCCAGGCCATGGAAGAGCTCAAAAAGGATTTTGAGAAGCAAGAGAAGTAGAGGAAAAATTAGGAAAAGAAATCAGAGTGATGCAAGAAAATCATGAAAAACAAGTCAATATCTTGCTAAAGGAGACCCCCCCCAAAAAAAATACTGAAGGAAAAAAAAAACATCCTTGAGAAATGGTCACCCATTCCTTGTCTGAAGACCTTAGATAAAAGGAAGACCGTTACCTCCTAAAGTATCTAATTCTATTTGGACAATTTTAATTGCTAGGATTTCCCCTCCTTTAACATTGAATCTAAATCTTTTTCTTTGAAACTTCTTTTTGCTGTTCCCAGTTTTGTCCTTTGGAGCTGAGCAGGACATGTCTGATTCCCCTTTCTGTATAAGAAGCCTACAAATTTTTGAGGATAACTATCATGTTCCCCCTTAGTCTTTTCTTCTTCAGAATAAATATTCCAAGTCCCTTCAGCTAATTCTTATGGGCTACTTGGGTTACCCCAACACTTGGGCCATCACTCTTTGGATATATTCCAGCTTACTTTCCAATTTCCAATCAATTACTGGGCATTACATTTTTATTGCCTAGAACTGAATAGAATTCTCTAAATGTGATCTAACCAGGACAGAATACTACAGGAGCATCACCTCTCATTTACTTCATTTAATATGGCCTAATGTGGTATAGAGGCTTTGGTGGAGCAATGAGGAGGGCTGTTATACCACATGACTGACTCATAGTGACCTTGCAGTCTACTAACACCTCCAGGTCTTAGCTATACCTCCACAACTCTGTACTTCTATAAACAATGTTTTTAACCCAAATGTAGGACTTGGTAGAGTAGGGATGCTACTGTATTTTGAGTCAGAGGGTCTGTGTTTTCACCCTGCTTCTGCCACTAGTAAGTGGCTCCTGGGTGACCTTGAAAAAATCATTTACCTTTTCTGGGCCACAGTTTTCTTAACTGTGAAATGAGGGAGTGGTACTAAGTGACTTTGAAGGTCTTTTTAATCTTGAAATCTATGAGTCCATGGTTCCGTGATTTTACATTTATCCCACTGAACTTCATTTTATGAAATTTGCTTCATATTTTTCTTATTGAAAATGTTTTGATTTCTGACTTTATCATCCAATGTGCTAATTATCTAACTGAACTTTCTGTAAGTTTGACAAGGATAATATCTTTGCTTCCATTTGTCACTGATGAAAATGGTAAGCCGCACAGGAAAAAAAAAATGAGATCTTTGGAACACTCCTCTAGAGGCCTTCCTCTACATCGACATTGGCCCCATTAGTGCCAACTATTATTTTTTAAAATAAATTTGTTATTTATCTATTTTTAGCATTCTTTTCTTTTTAAACTTTTAGTTCCAAATTTTCTCCCTTGCTTTCAATCCACTGAACAGGCAAGCAAAATAATATCAATTAGTAAGGAAGACTCATCTTCCTGAGTTCAAATCTGGCTTCAGACACTTACTAGGTATGTGATGCTGGGCAAGTCACTTAACCCTGCTTGCCTCAGTTTCCTCATCTGTAAAATGAACTGGAGAAGGAAATGGCAAACCACTCTAGTGTCTTTGCCAAGAAAACACCAAAAGGGGTCACAAAGAGTCAGACGTGACTAAAATGACTGAACAACAGCAAAATACATTTCTTGCAGCACAATAATATCCAATCACAATCATGTGTCACAGCTTGTTCAGCTACTTTCCAACTGATGAGCATCTTCTCAATATACATTTCTTTGCCACCATGAAAAGAGCTGCTGTAAATACTTTGTGCATATATGTCCTTTTCCTTTTCCTTTGATCTCTTTGGAGTACATACATAGTAATGGCCAACAATAGGTCCTAGCCTAAGCCTCATTTGGTTATTATTTGGGCTCTGATAGTTCACAGTGAGTGTAAATAGCAACTGTTTTTGTTTTGGCCAGAAACCCTGAGGGTCTTCCCTCAGAGGGATGAGGCAATGCTTGAACCTAACTCTCATCAGAATTGGTTCAAAGAGGGAAACATATATATACACACTCAGTTGGGTATAGAAATCTATCTTATCCAATAGGAAATAGGAGGAGAAAGGGTTGAGAGATGTGGGGGAAGGGATGGAAAAAGGGAGGATGGATTAAGGGAGGCAGAGGTCAGAAGCAAAATAGACTTTTGAGGAGGGATTGGACCAAAAGAGAGAGAAAGATAAACAGAAGAAAATAGGGTGGAGGGAAACACACAATTAGTAATCATAACTGTGAATGTGAATGGAATGAGCTTACCCATAAAATAGAAGTGGGTAGCAGAATAGATTAGAAACCAGAACCCAACAATATGTTTACAAAAGACACACTTAAAAGTGAAAAACACACACTGAGTTAATATAAAGGACTGAAGCAAAAATACTATGCTTCAGCTAAAATAAAAAACACAGGGGCAGCCATCATGACCTTGGACAAAGCAATAACAAAAAATAGACCTAATAGATAATCAAGATAGCTACATTTTACTAAAAGACACCATAGATAATGGAATAATATAAAAAAAAAATTACAGCAAGTTCTCCTGAGAAAGGCCTGATTTCTCAAATGTATAGGGAACTGAGTCAAATTTATAAAAATGACATCCATTCATCAATTGATAAATAATCAAAAGATATGAACAGTTTTCAGAAGAAGAAATCAAAGCCATCTGTAGTTACATGAAAATGCTCTAACTCACTATTGATTAAAAACATGCAATTTAAAACAATGCTGAGGTACCACCTCATAACTCTCAGAAATGACAAATGGATTGGATTTAAATGAATCAGGACTGGTGGATTGATGCTATGCACCCATAAATTGAACACCCTCAACACAGAAATCAAGGGTTATTTGAAATGATGAAGAATTCTAGAATTCAGAAGTGAACAGACACCTTAAGATTATTTCATCCAATCACTTTCATTTACCCATAATGAAATCGAGACCCAAAGAAAAGAAATGAATTGCTCAGGTTACACAGAGCTCAAATTGTAACTCACTCTGAAACCTGATGTGGGGCTATTTCTACTTTTCCAAAATGCCACAACCTAGTTGAATTGATAATTAATTTGTAGAATTATGAAATGAGGGCAAGCATGGCCAGTTCTTTGGATACTCACCAGGAGATACCATGATTGAAAATGGGAAACGGAGCTACAAACACACATAAATCAGGCATAGAGGCAAGTAATGAAAAGGATACAGATTCAGATGGTGGTGTAGGAATAGGGAATGGGGTAGTGAAGGCAGG